TGCTTGAGACATGGGCTCGGATTTGCTAACATGATTTCCACTACCCCAAACAAAGGAAACAGGGTATACTATGGTACTTTGCCCAGGTCCCGGTAGCTGAGGGGTTTTGGTGTAAACCCATCTTGCTAGGGGCGGACTTCCCCATCAACTATCCTTTCCAGAAAGTCGCCCCAAAAAACGTGAGGCGACTGCTTTTTGAACAGAAAGTGATCGTTGGAAAGACTGGGGTCACTATTTTGCCTCCTGAAAGAATGGACATGGAATCAACCGTTCGAATGAGTGGTTGTAAATAAGATCATTCCGGTTAAATGAGAGAGATCTCGGCAAGTTGTGACCTCCAAAACTCAGCGCCCACAACTGATTCCCATTGGCCATTTGAGTGGGGTTCTACCACTTTGTGTCGGACAGGTTGTAAGGCCTCTATAGACCTTTCTAGCCAAGTTGGCGCAACCGAAAGTCGATGTATTCTGGGTTTTGGGCACGGCTCAGTCGACCAGTTTCACCGGTGCGTTGCTTTAGAAAGGGGGGGCCCTTGGTTGGTGGAAAGTGTCGGATTCACCCAAAAGCAGGGACCCAACAAGGCTTTCCAAGTAGGCGGTCTCTTATCGCCCAGGTCTTGGGGGGATGGGTGGTGAATGCCAGCTTTAGCCCGACAGGGGATCCAGATATCCAGGGAACCAAAGTGTTTTACCAAGTTCATGATCACAGCTCCTATGGAAGCACTAGGGAGCGCAGCGGCGCAGCGCATGGCCGTGGCTTAGCCGAGTGGAACTTTGCTCCCCGCCCGAGGCTTTAGAGATAGCAAGATGTCCATCGGCATTGCGAGCCTTTGTGTGAAGCTCAGAGATTTGGTTTTGACGACCTTGGGTGGTGCGCGTGTTTTGTTGGAAAATGGTATGTATAGACAATCTTGCCTTTACCCAGACTCCCAGTGGCGCACTCTGTTTTCCTTGTTTTGGAGAAGGTTTCCCTTTAAAATCAGTAACTAGACCAACAAGGCTTGCCCTTTCCCCTGGCAACGAGTGAATGAGATTGGGTGCACGCATTGTTGCTGATGTTGCCGTATCCTCCTCCGTGTCTTTCTCCGGCATGCACACTTGCATGCTAGCACTGGAGCTACAGAACCGTAGGAGCAGGGCCCAAACCCCCCTTTCCCATTTTGGTAGGTCATTCTACCTGGTTTCATATGCGTTATAGTAGTCCCTATATATATATATAGCACGTGTATAGCAATACTGAAGAGCCAGGAGTCGATCAGTTTTGAGCGCCTCCCACATTGGACATTGAGATCCATTCGCAACCTCCCAAAAGGCATACGGGCTTATCGGGCGATTGTCTCAGACGGAACAAGCGAGAGCCAGAAAATAATCATTCCTGTTTTTGTTGCCATCTTCCCGGGCTCAAATGGACCTCACGTGAACGATGTTGCACATCATCATCCACTGTTTCACGATTCCCGGAAAACATGTGACATGCACTGAGATTGCAATACGGCGGAAGCCAAAAGGATGCGAACCAGTTCTGGGTGCAAAGAAAAAACACGAGCTTGTGATAATCCGGTGGTTAAGCAAAAAAGCTCGCCAGTGAAGGTCTCTTGCATATGGATTCATTGTTTATTGTTGAACAAAAGGGATCGCCCCTCCAAGAAAAGAGAGGAACAAAAACAGCAAAAACATGTCAACCTCAAAAATAATCAACCCCTGAAAGGGTCCCAGCATTTCATCAGAGTGACTGGGCGTCCAAACGCCGCTTCCCCAGTCGAATCCAATGAATCCAAGCCATCAATTCGGGCGGAGTCGGGCGGAAACTTCTCATTTTGGCGGGTCCACAATCTTGGTGGGTCTCATATGTATTATTTGTTATTGGTGACACGGCTTCTTGGAGCCCGCGCGCAGGCCAGCAAGAAACCATCGCAACCTTTTGACTAGTTCGAGACACTCAAAAAAAACCAAAAGCCATTGGGACCTTTCGGACCACGCTAACTGAACCTGGGGGAGGGGGGGGAGGGGGGTGGGGGGGGGAATGGTTACGTTCGTGGTCACAGCGAGGGCCCAAGAGCGTATAGTAGAGCTAGATGGCCGAAAAAGCGCCATGCGCCCGCAGGTCGGTGGGATCCTTTTCAAAAGATAGTGCCAGCGCAGAATGATCGCTTTCTTATCGTTTTGTCTTCGGTTCCTCCCGAACACACTTTCTTGTCCCTGGTGATCGTTTTTGCAACACCCCGTCTTGATAATTCCACACGCAGGCCATACGAAACAGCGGTGTTACACCGGGCTCCAAGAAGCCGTGTTACCTTGTTATTGGACCCACAGAATCAAAGAGTTCTGGGGGCCAAGGAAACCACTCATCTTTGCCGTGGGTCCACCATTTTCAGTAACACCTCTGAGCTGTGCAAGCGACCGGATCGAGGCGCCTACCCGCCTGACAATCCTTTGCCCCGGTACGCTGCCTCCAACCACCGCGCCTATGCGGCGCGGCACGGGTATCGCGGCCTGGACAGATTCGAATGGTCGGCTTGTAGGCTTTGTAGGATTTGTAGGGGCAAACGGAAACCGCAAGGGGAACCCTCCGTTTGGGGTTACCCTGTGTAATTGACCTTGTGCTTGAGTATTTGAGTATTTTTGGTGTGGTTGCTGGGGTATGTCGGCACATGGGGATGCTTGAGCCATTCGATACTAGACGTGTGGGAAATGGTAGAGATGCGCCGATGGGAAACGGAGCTTATGCGCCTGCAACACACCTCAATCCGTACACACCTGGCTATGAATATCAATAGGAACCACCTCAAAAGTGGTTGGTGGACCAGGGAAACCGTGAACCCCCTCCTGGATGTCCACCAAAGGGTCCCTCATTAAAGTCATGCCCAGCAGATGCACGTGCACTATCTTTCAATCCAGTTTAAACGCATCCGGTGCGTAGCATCGGTCCGATAACATTCGCCCCAAAGGTGCGAGAGTTCGGGCAATTGGAGTGGGCAGTTTGTGAGCTCAAGCCGCTTTGGGAGTTCCAACAAACCTTCCGAAGGGTCCAGTCAGGTTAGAGGAAGGGCTGAACTTGCCAAAATCAGTCTTCGCACACCAAGGTGGGGCGGGTAATGGGTGAAGCTTCTCGCTTCCGTGTTGGGACTCAATACTTTTTGGGAAGACCGGAAGACCATTTTAGTGGCAAACAACACTTCTGACGTTTAGTTGCGGTTGTTCAAAAAACAATACTGTACTCCTTAAACTTCTTGCAGTGTTGTCCTTGAGCGGCCAACAACATGTCTCAGCTTTGGTGGTTGCCAATCCTTTGAAGTTGAGGCACCAAACAAGTTGCGAGTTCTTCGGGATTCGCTTCAGATGTCCTCATGGCTTGGGCCTCTCTTTTTTTCCGCGCGGTTGAGCTGTCCGTTCAAGCTCTCTTTGCGCTTGTGGTTTTGATGTGGTCCTGGGGTCAAAGAATGTTTCGGAGGTTGGGCGTCAAGAGTCTAGGCTTCAGCTTTTGGTTCAAGCACGGCATCCAAGACGAGACCACAAGCGAGCAGAGGCCCGCGATTGAAATTTCACGAGGCCCGCAAAGAACGAAGCTCCTGGAGTGGAGAGGCCTCGTTATTTGGTGGGTTGGCAGATCTTGGAGTAAGTTCTTGGCCTTTGGCCCAATAGTCACATTGATGTCCCAGCTTGACAACCTGGCTGGTCTATGGTGTGACCCCAAAGGTGCCCTTAGACTTTCTGTAGACAAAAGTTGTTCCAAGAATCCTAGAAGAGGAGATTGACTTGCTCAGGAAGGGGGTTGGAACAGCCCAGGTTATATAATTCCTCTTTGGGAAGATGAATCGATGTTCCTTTGGGACCCAAGAAGCGAGAAACTGGACATTTGGGCCAAAGTCCAGATCAAGCCTGAAAACACTGCAGTCCTGGCCCTTGCACAAGGTCGGCTGACCTCAAATGATTGCTACATTCCTTGGGAAATTGTAGCAGCCTCACTGACCGAGGGCAATGTTCACCAGCCGGTGCTTGTATTGGCATTGACCCCAATTGGGGTAGGGAAACCAAAAAGAATGCCACCATGTCGGGGGAACCTAGAAAGACACCTCCCCCCCATTTCCTGCAGGTAAGCCTTAATTGGTGGTTGTTTGAATCCCTGGTTCCAGAAGGTAAATAAAGGAGTCAGGACATATGATTTTCTTTGTGTCCCCTTTACCAGTTTCTTGTTGGTGCTCAGCAGGGAATGAGGGAATGCCCCCTAGAAACATTCCCTCTGGTTTCCTTGCCATTCCCCAGAAACATACCATTTCCTACCCACCAAAAAACAAATCAAACAAGAACAAGAAAAAAAGAAGAAACAAACAGACACAAAGGAACAAATGACACACACACACACACGCACATCCAATGAGAAAAATGACCAAAAAACGGGATGCCCCTATACCCAAAAACCAAAACAACCCAAGCAAAATGACCAAACACGGGTTGCCCTTTTGCAAACAAAGTGAAACAAAACCGACCGATTCCTGGCCCGTGATCCCAGGCTATCGCCTGGAGCTGACGCAGCTGGCGCCGGAGCGCCCGGCGGCCTGGGGCAAGGTGAAGCACATGCAGCGGGTGCTCGAGGTCCGGGTCTCAAAGCTCGGACGAAAGGGTTCAGGCATTGTGATCTGAGCGCTGGACCCAGGGTCTGTCGCGCTTTGGATCTTTGTGGACCCCATGCGAGTCTTCCGAGTTTTTTTTTTTTTTTTTTTTTTTTTTTAATGTAGGGAATAGAAGCGGTCAGACAAGCTGAAGTCATGTTTGGGAGTCATGACCATGGCCACGTACCTTTTTCTCGCTGCCTGCAGGGAAGGGTGTCGGCAACCTAGGACAAAGGGTGTCACTCGCGACAGGAGCCTGGGGTGGACTGGTGGCTGTGGTTCGACTGCGACACCTTCTTCATGAACATGAGCGCGCCCTGGCGAAAAACAAGATCCGAGGCTCACAATGCAGCGCCCCAGACACGTGGGGTTGCGTAGTCCTTTTGTGAGCTGCTTTTTTGGAGTGCCCAGAATCAACTAACTCAAGCCACAAACAAGTGAGCTCATTTTTCCCCCACTACGGAAATGAGTTGGACTGCTGCAGGCAGATTCATTTTTGGTTTCAACGCAAAACATCCCAGTAGCAGCCCCCCCACAAAGGACACTATGGAACAAGAGACCCCTCTCAGCTAACCAAAGTCGGAATTCACCGTTTGACAATCTATGATTTGTCTCAGTCAGTCCCAACATACTGACCATTCACACCCATTTGATGCTGTTCAATCACATCTAAGCCCTAATTTCACGTGTATGAGTGTTCCTGTCTGTACGTCGCTTTTTGAGAAGTGATTCTTCAGATCTTACGGCTGGACGCTGTCCCGTGTTTGGCTGACCTTCAGGTGACTTTGGATTCACTGCTCTGCCGCTACGCGGGGGACACGAACTGCCAGCTGGATGATGTTCATATGCTTGCCGCAGAGGCTGCCACGTTGCTCGTCGGCTTGCTCGTCGGGCGTCGCGTTGCTTCGGAGGATCAAAGGGAGGAGCTGCCGCGTTGCTCCGAAACGAATGATCAAACCAGGCTGGAGAATTGGCTTTGGAGTCCTTTTCTTTTGCCATCCATCTTTTCTTGAAACACTTCTATCCGTTTTAGTCTTTGGAGCAAGCCGGAAGGCAAAATAAATCTGATGGCCTTTGACAGGGTGTCTGCACGCGTGTCTGAATTTTGGGGAATATTTGTAGCCCCATGTAGAGAATGTCCACCAAAGCGTCCCCGAACAAACATCACACGCATGCGTCTTCAATCCGATGTTCCGCTGTGGGAATCCTTTATTGATGTAGTGTGTGTGTATATATATATATAAATATGTGTCTGCACTAGAATCAAACCACGATGTTTGCCTATGGTTCTGACTATGTCATGTTTACTTCCAGGAGTTTACAAGGTGGTTTTCACAAATTGGTTGTACATTGGTACCTACTGTTGGAGTAACGTCAGGCGTGAAAGGATAGGTGGAACCCTGATTACTTACCCAGTTTTAGTGCGGGTTGAAAGGGGCCAATCCCGCCCAACAAAAGGAACTTCAACGACACCCCGGCTGGGCATCCCGCTTAACCCCCCTCAAAAGATTCAAGAAGACATGCCATTGATGCACACAACAACAAGCAAGGTACCAAAATCAGGAACAATGAAGACCATCACAGGGGGAAACATTGCCCAACATGGGAAGAATGGGAAACAATTGCGAAACACTTCCGGCAAACATGGGTTGAGATCGTGGAAAAAAGGGACTGTCCGACCGAACCCTTCGTTTTTTTGCGAGGACGCGGCGATGCTCAACACCGGCGCTTTTCTGCTGCGGAGCAGTGACTGGAGCCGAGGCTTCCTGCAACGCGTCTGGGGCGCCGAGGAGAATGGACGAGCTTCGTTCGGCGACGACCGGCGGCCCCAAGAAGTGTTTGGATCTTTTCTGAGGGCGTCCTCACCTAATTTATATCTTTTTGTATTAGGGGCATGGAAGGCATATTTTTCCATGTTTGATGTTTTTGTTTTGCCCGATTTTTAGGTAAGCGAGGGTGCCGCATGGCTGCGCTTTTGAGGCTTTGCGAATCTACCTTCAACTCTGTGCTTGCTTCTTTGGGTCGTGCGTGCGTGCATGCGTGCGGCGTGTGTGTGTGTCTGGTGTGTTGGTGTGTGTGTGTGTGTGCTTGTGCAAGAGTGGCAAAACGCTAGGTAGTTGTTGAATTGCTCCACGCACGTTTTGCCACCCACTTTCGCTTGTGCCTTTGCTTCTCCCTGGGCAGGCAAAAATCTGTGTCCGCCACTTTCGTCCAGCCAAAGAGCAATGAATTTGCTGCAAATGTTCCTTCCTTTTGGGAAAGCAACCATAATTGTGAGCTAAGTTGCATGTGTTTCAGTGCGTTGCTGCTTAGGCCCCCCCCCCAACTACTTCTGACGCCTTCCCCCGTGACAAGACTTGAGACTCTTGGTTCATGTGTTGTCGTTTGTTGCTTTTCAAGTCCCCCTAAACCATCGGCGTATTACCACGTGCTTTAAAGGAGTTGAGACTCCACAGCTCATGTTGTTTTAGTTGTTCGCTTGTTTGGCGCTGTTCATGTTTAGTGGAAGCCGCAAACAAGCTTTTGTTCTAGATTCTACATGTTCTACCAGGGGTTGGGGCGATTAGTCTACGAGCGATTTGAGAAAGGGGGGGGGGTTTTCGTAGAGGGACAACCCAATTGAACCAGGGTTGCAAGCTGCTAAGGGATAGACCAAGACACGGTCAATAGAAGGGCCTCAGTAATTAGAATTGGGTTGCGGTGTACCTTATTAGTTTCTTAGTCGTAGGACAATCATTTGTATGATTGGTACAAGTCGTAAACGGCGTCCTTTGGTTTCCTGGGACAACATCATGCTACCCTTGTGCTGATCACGTCGAATGGGAGCAACCAGGCCACAAACACATTAATGTTAGCTTGGATTTCGTGATAAACTTTATATACCTTAGACCCTCTTAACCCCCTTTATGTACCTGTCATATACGCTTCTATACCTTTCATCGAACCCTTGTATATACCCTTCATATACCTTCCGTATACTCTTTGAATGCCCTTGAATACCCTTTATTTACCTTTCATACACCCTTTGTATACCCTTCACATACCCGGTGCGTGTATCCCCTGCATGTGCCTTTTGTCATGTACAAGTTACAACTATGAAGGGGTTCTAGCTCAACTCCACCAAGTTTACCCGAAAGCACAACAGTGCGAACATAGTTCATATGTATGCCTAAACCAAGAAGTGTTAGGGAGAACATTGTTGCACACGCTTTGTTGGCTTCACTTTCTATGCTGAACGGTATTCTTCTTGTTATTTTTCTTGCCACAAAAGTCTGCCGAATGGTGAGCTTCCGTTTTAGGGTTGGATAGCTTTTGAATGGAAAGCAAACGGAAGCCAACCCGAAGAGGTCCCTAATTTTGAGAAACATCCATTCAGGAGAAAGCAGATGTACAGTTCTCCCAAGTTGGTTTAGTGATCCCCTTACCCACACAAGTTGCGCCATCGGCCCTCCGGTTTGCCAGCGCGCAGCGTGCGGATTTGTTGGTCCGGCCAGGACTCGGTGTGGATTTCGCATCCATGGTGGCTCGGCTTTTTTGGTGAGTGTGACAAAATAGGGGGATCCAAAAGTGGATTGTCCTTTTGATTTCTCTGCCAAAGGGTACGCTCCACAAAACACACCATGCCAACATTTGACTACTCTGGAAGACAGCTCCCTCAACATGGGGGCACAATTTGAACCACCCCGGACGCGCAGGGTCCCCCAGATTTATCCCAAATTAGCAGAAACATAGATAATCAGCTACAGGAAATTCGTTAGCACGTGTGCCATGTAGTGTACACACGGGGCTTTGGTGAACCTGTATATTTTTCGGTCGTTGGCTTCTTAGCCACTCAGGGACTTGTCGGGGGCGCTTTTTTGAAAGGAGCAAGGCTGCGATAAGCTCCGTCACAAGTCAACACTTAAAAACATGTTCCTTGGAGCCTCGGTGTTCCGAGAAGGGCCAAGGGACCGGCGAGAGTGCAGGAACCAACGTGCTTTGGGCTGGCGGAAGGAAACAGATATTGTATGCGAGCTCACTATGATATAGGTTGCTTGTGATTTGGCAATCGTATTTCAGGAGTTGGCTTTATGTAAACGTTATTTTATGATTTGCACATGGTTGTGGAAAATAGGCACCCACAACACGCACACGCAATACAACCAACACCACACACACACACACACACCAAGCACACCATACACCTCCACACCGACCCCCACACACACGGCGGCGGTCCCAACCATTGGAGTCCCAACTGTGAACTCGCATCGTAGCCCCAGAGCCACAACTGTGGCCCCAACTGCGGCCCCCAATGATAGCCTCGGCTGGGTCCCAAAGCCCCAACTCGAACCCGTAACTGTAGTCTCAACTGTGGCCCAAAGTGAGTTCCAATTGTGACGCACGCGTGCGCACATGCGCACGCGCACGCACGGACGCACGCTCACACGTGCACACGCGCGCACGTGCCAACGCGCACACGCTGACACGCTCCCGCACACGCTGACACGCTCGCGCACACGCTGACACGCAGGCACACACACACACACGCACACATGCACTCACGCAAACACGCACACCCATGCACACTCTCAGCCCACACACACACGCATACATATCTATATACATATGCTACCCCCCCTTGAAATACTCAGGTTTTCGTCCAGAACTCAAGTTTTTGGCGAGACTGGGGGGACTGTACACTGAGCTCACAGGACGTGCAACTCCATGCAAAGTCACACCCAGCAGAAGTTAATCTCAACGTTCAAAAGGAGCTAAAAGGAGCTCCTAGTTAAACAGCTCGAACGCGAAGTGCGCTTAAAGTCACGCTGGAGTCTGCGAAGTGCACTTTGGCAGCCCCAGCTCAGAAAGCACAATTTTCAGCGCAAGAGTAGTGCGCGAAGCATGCTTTAGCAGCTTCATCGTGCCTGCAACAGCTGTTTAGTTTGATATGTCTATTTTACAAGGAAACTCGGCAACTCATCCTCTTGGGAAGGGAACTCAACCCTACTTGCAACTGACAGCAAAATCAAACAAAAAAGTGCTCCATGTCCGTGCGCAGTTGCATTTACATGTTCGTTCGCGTTTTGTACATAATTCCGCACACATTCTAGCTAAGTGTGTGTTTAATTCAAGCTTGCAAAGCAGCTATCTCAGTTGTGCGTTACTTGTCCAATACGACTCAACCACTGTCAAGAACAACTATGGAAATCAAGTACAGGAAGAACATGAAAATTAAAATGATTTCGAGGTCAAGCCAAATTCAACTTTAATGAGCCGGTTGCAGATGTTTGTGCGTTTCAAATGTCAATTGGAGAACACAGCTATTGTCATGGCCAATTAAAGCTGCAACCAAGAGAAAATTCATAAGGGGTATTGTCCTTATTTGACTCCATGTGGTTTTACCCAAGCAAGAACTGAGCCAAATCAATAAGAGAAAAGTGTTTGCAAACAGTGTTTGCAAACAGATCTTATTCTTGGCATAGAATGCTGTAAAACGCGGTGTTTTCAGCATTCGCTCAGATAATGTTGCCCTGGATCGAAGGCAACCTATTCAAGATTCCACAGACATCGTTTTAGAACATCCTCAATCCTGGCCCCCCAAAAAGCTTGACAGTTTTCCAGACTCTTTAAGGTTTTCCCACCTGCATTGCAGATTGAAGATCTTCAGATGTTGTTTTTGAGAATCGTCCAAGTCCCACAAAAGCTGTAAAGTTTTCAAAACACATGTTTCCCTCATTGGCAAAATGAAGGCGGTGCACATCCGCAGTTTGACTCCTGGAACGTGCTCTGCTTGTCCGCCTTGTGAGATTCCATACTTGGGCAGTCCAGGATCTGCATTGAGGATTGAAGGTTCTTTGACAACTCTTGATGGGATTCTTCAATTATGTACTTAGGGCAATCCAAGATGTGCTAGCACATCCTGGATTGAAGATTGAGGATTGAAGATTCTCAGGCCACTTTTCTGGAAATCTTCAAATCCATACGTAGGTCAAACTGATACTGTATGTGCTAGCACATCCTGGATTCCCCTAAGTATAGATTTGAAGAATCTCAGCAAGAGTTGTCAGATAATCTTCAATCTTCAATCTTCAATCCAGGATATGTTAGCACATCCTGGGTTGCACTAAGTACCGATGCTATGATTTACGTCTAAAAAGAGGGCATTTTGAGGGCATTTTTTGAACATCAGTTTTTTTTAAAGCTGAAAAATGCATTTCACATGCATGTTTACCGCAGAGTATTCCAGGGGGGGTACCAAATATATGTTTGTTTCTACCTGTTGGGTGAATGACAAGCCACTTTAGCTTCGAGTTGGTCGGTACAACCTCAAGCACCATGCCAAATCCCGGGTCAATCGAAGACCTGGTTGGACTATCTGCATGAATTACGCAATTCACCTAATCGGAATTCGGGAATACCTTTGTAAGGGATCACTATGGATGATCAGGTTTTAACCCTACTTCGATATTTTTGGGCAAACAAAGGAGTGTCAGCCAAGTCGTGGCAGATTCCTCTTGGTCGGATCTGTTCAAACAAAACGACCACTCAGTTCATCCAAAACTGGAGGGGTCGTGTTTCTCGAGGGGCACGGCTGGTTGGGAAATAACCTCAAGGGAAACCCTGGCTCGTGATTGGCGGCCAAAATCAACGGCAATTTTGAGGGTGCCTTACTCAAATTTTGACCCAGGTGGGAGAACGCAGCGATCATTTGGGACCTCCTGCGCACGACCTCTGAGCGGGCACGCCACGGCAACAACTTCGAGGTCTATCCCAAGGAGGCGCCCAATTCGTTCCCAGAAGCTGCGAGCCGGTATTTTGGCCCTTCTGGGGCTCTGAATACGGTTTTGCCCTTGGGCTACGTTTCAAATCAAGCCTGGGCGTTCTCAAGCACTCCTTGCGCTTTCAACATACGAAAATAGACTACAGAAAAAAAAATCGGGCACCCTTATTCTAACCTCTCTACTGGAGGTCCTAGTCTTTCAACATGGGTGTTTCAACCACAATGCCGGTTCAGATGACTCGCGTGCCGCTTTGGGCCAGTCTTGCCAGCGCCTCATTTGATTTGACCAAGGGACCCATCAGCTTCCGCTTGCAACATGTGGGCGAAGGCGCCCTGACGACTTCGGGGGAAAAGTTGAACAAGGTCAACTGGTCTTGGATGTACAAGCTTCAAGGAAGTAACTGTATAGAGCCAGTTTACCTCGAGCTGCCCTTGGATCCTGGAAATCTGAATGCACTCATGACCACCTTGCGTTCTTGTATTTGAGCAATTTGGGCTCTTCAGGACTGGCTGAATCAACGGGCTATCCGCTTTGAAGACTTGAATTTGAGACATTGCTACGTATCAAGTGGAACAGCCAAGTTTGCCCTTTGTGGTTCGGAGACACGATAAATGGGACCTGCGAACCGCTCCCCCCCCTCCCTTTTTCCATTCTGTGGTTGGATGAATGCGACCTGCTCCCCCACCACTTTCCCCTTTGGTGGTGCAAAGACTCGGCAAATGGAATAACTTCCCGCCCAATACCCCCAACCCCCCCTCCTCACGGTTCGAAGACATAAAAAAGACGCGCTCCGCGAACTCCCCCCGCAACACCCCTTCCCCTCAAGACAGAGGGGCCCAACATCAATGGGTGTTTCCCTTTCAGTTCCACTTTAAAGGAGCAGAAACAAGGCTATGGCAAAACTTCGATCACTATGAGAGTTAGTCTGTCCGTGTGGGAGGGACTCAGGAGACAACGCCCGACGAACACCGTCGCAAAGTTCCTCGTGTTCTTTTGGGGGAAACACACCAATTTGACCGTGGCTCATATTGCTACCATCTTTTTTTTGCGTTTGACAGGTGCGGATCCTGCCACAGTTCGAGCTGAACTCCTACCACCCTGCCACCGCTCAGTTTGAGCCTCAATGAGGACAAGAACAGCACTGGTTGGCCGGGTAAAGCCAAGGGTTAGCCTAGGGTCAGCCTATAAAAGGGAAAGCGCGATGATGATTGTTTTTTGTTTTTGTTTCAAAGAACAGCAAATACATTTATTTTAATCGGGGTTGGCCCAACCTTGCGTGAAGCAGGTAGGGGATCAAGCAGACCTGGAAGTTGACAATATCCTCAAAGCAAGGGACATCACCCCCATATTTTGGGGCATCCAATTTTTGAAGGGTCTGGGTCGAGATAGGCTCACCTCGGATACAGGGAGCAACCCGGTCTACCACGTTATGGATGCTGACGGCCCAGACCGGATTCTCTTTGTGTCAACCTGCAGGTTGGCGTCTCCAAATATATTTTATGTGAAACGCGGTTGACTCATTGACCGAGTCCGAAAATCACGGAGCTGTTTTGTCCCAAAAAATGTGGTGGTTGCCAAGGTTCCTACGTGCGAGAGAAGGGCGGGAACTGGTTTTCTGACGGCCTTAGGTCAGGTCCCAGGTCAGATTCGGCCGAAATTTCAGGTTCCCAGCCCTGGTTCCCTTTTGCTAGTTCTATTCTCCAACCGCAGGCTGCATGTGCACCGCTAGCCTTTGCTTCATGGATTCGGGCTTGTCCGGTGCGGCCAATCGGTCCAGCTGCAATCCAGCAGCTGTTCATGTGTCCTTCTATCCTTGACCAATAGTCCAGAAGGCTTCGCCTAAGGGTATGACCAAAATCGATACCCATCATCAACCTGCAAACCCAAAGGGATTCACCCAAAATCGAAAATAGGAACCCAGGATTGACTGAACTTGTTGATTGATGCGGGTGTTTCCCATTTAAGCCGATCCTTCACTTGTGTTGGAGAAGCACCCTGAAAAAAAAACTGACTTGTTGATAAACACTTCAAGATCAGCCCAGCCCGGGTTTGCCGTTCCAAATTGGTGGGTCTCATGAAATAGCTTGGGGTCAAAACCCTGTAATTGTGGTGAACATCAAAATAGGTGGTACATGGGTGTTCATCCGCCCCAAAATGGAGAAAGGCATAGGTTACCCATGGAATGAGTCGGTTCATGCTCCAGGTCGTTGCACGACGCCTGGCAGCCGGGCAAGTTTGTGCTGGCCTTCAACGGGGTGCTGTCCAACACCAGCCCGGGAGCCCGGGCCGCGTCAGGTGGGGAAAAGAGCCACGGGGTAAACACGAATGGGTGAAGGCGGGGGCGAAGTGAAGGATGGCCGGGGAAAGAAAACGACAGGAGGTATCTTGTGAAGTCTTTGTTTATATATTTGCCCAGGTGAGTGAAAGTGACGTGCCCCGACATGCACGCCCGGGTCACCAGTTGGACTCCTTGGAATGGTTGCCACTGGGTCCCAAGTTTTGGCATGGTCGTCACTGTTATCAGCTAGGCATGAGAGGAGTAGCGTTTGCTGCTGCTGCTTCTGCTGCTGCTGCTGCTTCTGCTGCTTTGTCAATTTGCGCAGGTTCTTGAATCATGGTTTTCTTTTGCGAACGCTTAGTTTGCTCCAATTGGGCGAAAGCAATGCCGTGTTCCTGCAGTGCGACCTGCGGCGTGCTTCCCAGACTTCGTCAGTAGGAAAAAGGATCGCATGTGCCAAATGTTCTTGTGTCTTGGTTACGAATCCCGTTATGTAGGTGATGCTTCCCGTTGTGCAACCCCACAAGGGGGGCAACCCTGCTAAGCAACTGTGTTACGGTCAACATATCCTACTTGAGGCTGGTAAGGTTGGGCATGATCCTAGCCTGATACCCGCCAAAGCTTGGCGGGCTTTCCTCCTGAGTTTCTTGCTGGTTTCTTAGGCAGTTTCGGGGAGCAACGCCAAATGGGTGAAAGACGATTGCCTGCAGTTAGGGTTTCAAGTGAAACAGCAACCAGATTGGCATCCCTCCCTTCAAAGGAACCCCTTTTCAGCAAACGTACCAAGGCCTTCTTTCCTGCCGCTTGTCTCTTAGAAAGGAATTCGGGCGGAGCAACAAGAGACCGAAAAGATCAAGAACAATACCAGCACCCCCCAACTGCCTTTGCTTGGCCAAAATCCCAAGTCCCAAAAGGGGGGGGTGCTGCGCAACTCGCCGAAAACCAAGGCCCTGGCGTGGTCCGAGCCCTGTGCCCTCGCACCGGGGGTGGACCAGGGCTCGATTTGGCTGATGTTTCTTAGCATCTTTGTAAGGACCCAGCCAAATTTTGGAGTCCACCTGAACCCAAAAGGCCAAGGGCGCGCTTGGGTCAAATGTGGGTGACGCAGATGGTTCGATCGCTTCCGGAAAAAGAGGGCTGCTTCTTGAATGAAGAGCCTGGATCCCTTCGAAAGCAATTAGCATGCTTGCTTTTTTCACTTGCCTTAAAACTGATTTTGGGACACCGCCGCAGTGCGCCATGGAGAGACGAGGTCAGATGAAGGATTGCCGAGCACACGTAGAGAATTGATCAATGGTTTCCCTTAATTTTTAGGGTCAGGGCGAAAGCAAAAGGAACACCTCCATCTTTCTCTGGGTTTCCAATAAACTGAGGCAAAGGTCTGGCCTTGTGCCGTCTTCGGAGCAAGCCTGTTGTTGTGCGAGATGCGTTTGAAGATGTGGGGACTGAGGTTTCATGTGGATTGTTTGGTGAATCAGCCAATTCTTGGGGCCCGCTTGATAGGGTACAAAACGCAGAAGTTGGTTTCTCCACAACCATTCAGTCCTCATTGGAAAATGGTACCCGGACCCGCTGCTTCATCCGGGTTTGCGAAGCCTCGCCAATCAAATGGCTCTGGATCTATGTCAAATCGAATGCTTGTCCTCCATTCGGACGAAGGTATCTCAACTTGACGCGGGTGCGTCTCAAATGTAGAACCCACCCTGTGGTGTTTGAAGCGAATCCACCCGATCTGAGCTTTTGGTCTCCCACTTGTGTTTCATGTTTCCGTAGCAGATTGGCCTAGCAGCTCACACCTTCAAAGGCCAACGTGTGGGGTTCATGGTCAAGAATGGGGGTGATTCAAATCTGGCTGTTGAGAACCGTTGTGGGGCAGCGTTTGCGAAATGAAAAGCAGTTGGATCAAGCAAATTCGTCTTGGCGGGCCAGACATGCTCAGTAGCAAAGTGGGGAAGCTGCTGCAGTTCAGCAGCGCGGTCGCCTCTTGTTGCCAGATCCAGGTACGGCTATTACTATGAGATTGCTTGCGAGCTCAACGGGACTGGGTTTGTCGTCGTGGGGTTGTGCCCCTTTGTCCTTAGCGAAGGATATTGTGAAGACGGGGTGTCCTATTGACGATCACTTTTGGGTGGAACACCCTCCACAGGGTACTTGAATCTGATCACTAAGTGGGTGTGTTGCAAAATCCGGAAGGTATCCGGAAGATTTTTTTGAGGACTCCCCCTCCGTTCAGCATTTCGTCAGCATTCCAGCATGCCGTTGGACCCCGTACCTTTGGGACAGAACCGATCTTGTCCCAAAAAAGCGAGGCCGGTCTCATGTCTATTGAGCTGGGTCAGAATATCCAGTCGTCTATGGTCCATGGAAGGGATATTGGCAGGCAACAAAATCAAGGGGACTCTCTAAGTTTCCCACGTCCAGCAGGACAACAGTCAATTTCGACTCGCTGTGTTGGGGCAACCCTGGATGCTTGCTCCGCGTTTTCTCACCAAGCAAGTCTCTGCGCAGAATCATCTACCACCTCTCCAAGTCTTGACTCGCGTTTCTCCAAATCTTGCAAGTGGTAACGCGCGTTGGCGTTTTTTGAGCTTGGACATGCTTTATTCATCCTCAGGCCTGGTGCAACTTGTCGACTTTTGGTGAAGTCAAGCCACCGCTTTTTGAGGCTGCCCCTTGCAGTTGAGTTTCCATTTGCTTAAGAATATTTGTCATTTTCCCTTTTACAGGGAATCTATGACTACTGGAAAGATATGCATATTTTTTTCAGGGGGAAATATGCATATCTTTTTCAGGGGGCTTAAGCAAGTGCAGCAAGTTGAAGCTGTGGGAAACCACATCGAGGCCACTTGTTGGGGGTCCTAAGCCCTTGCACGAGCCACACGCATTTGGAGCCAGGATTCCCCTGGGCGAGTCTCAAGGCGCAACGGTTGGGCGAAATTGGACCAGATCTCGCCTTCAGCCGGGGGTTGGAAGTACTGTGGATGGACGAAATCCATTTCGCACCACCTAAGAATCCCTGCAACGGTGATCCCCCACACAATGCCTTCCTACGGTTTCAAAGTGGTGCGAACGGATTTCGTCCATCCACAATATGTCCAATTTGGGAGTGAGATTTATGCAGAAGATTAGTTTGAACAACGACCAGACCCCAGTTGATTGTCAAGTGGCGCCTGTTTGTCCTTCTTGATGTCTTGCCCCTTTCGAATCAGCCACAAATGACAAAAGAAAGTGACCTTGTTGCCCATGACAACTGGGGAGGTAAGAGCTGAGGTAGTTTTGGCAACCTCCCCCCCGCACTTTCTGTGGAATTTGAAAGGAGCTGAGTTGCTCGCGAGAAGGCGCAACCCCGGTCCCGATCCTGCTTCCCAAAGGGTCCCATTGTACCCTTTAAGGATTCCGCAAACGCAGGTCACTTCTACAAACTATGAAATGGACCTGAGGGAAATCGCTCTTTGATTAGTTGGGTTATACCCGCACCGTTTTGGAAGGAAATCCAACTCCGGTGACAGGGGGCATGTCTTGAGGTACCAAGGGAGGGCAAAATCTGAAGTAGGTCACCCAAACTTAAATGTATGTTTTGGTGTGTGTGTGTGTGTGTGTTACGCACGAGGCTTACTTGGGGTAGGGGTGGTCAACCCTGGACATTCAGACAAATGCCTGCATGGTCGGGATGGGCATGTGTCCAAATCGGGGGACTCCCAACATGGTGGTTTGCCTGTTGATTTGCCACGACGTTTTGGGTTTGAGGTAAAACCACCCAAAAGGAGGGTAAATACACACTCACTCCATGGACCTCATGGATTGCCAAACTATACGTTTGGCTCAAGGCTGAGAACCAAAAGAATCGGG